TTGATTTGAAACAATCTAGCACATAGAATGCAGTGGTCTGGAGTATGTACTATACAGAGTGCAGTGGTTAGAGAAATGTTATGTACAGACCAATGTACAAATAACTGCAGTCAGGAGTATGTAACGTACAATACAATTGCATGGGGTATGTATAGCAGTCATACATACAGTCATGCCGAAATTGTTGGCACCCTTGATATTTCTCCAGGAAATCATGTATTTCTCACGAAACGTATTGCATTAACACATGTTTTGCTATACACATGTTTATTCCCTTTGTGTGTATTGGGACAAAACAAAAAAAGGGAGGAAAGAAAGAAAGCAAATTCGACATAATGTCACACAAACCTCCAAAAATGGGCTGGACAAAAGTATTGGCACCCTTTCACAACTGCGGATAAATAAGAATGTTACAAGCATGTGATGCTCCTGTAAACTCACCTGGGGCAAGTAACAGGTGTGGGCAATATAGAAATCACACCTGAAAGCAGATAAAAAGGAGAGACGTTCACTTAACCTTTGCATTGTGTGTCTGTCTGTGCCACACTAAGCATGGACAACAGAAAGAGGAGACGAGAACTGTCTGAGGACCTGAGAACCAAAATTGTGGCAAAATATCAACAATCTCAAGGTTACAAGTCCATCTCCAGAGAACTAGATTTGCCTTTGTCCACAGTGCGCAACATTATCAAGAAGTTTGCAACCCATGGCACTGTAGCTAATCTCCCTGGTCGTGGACGGATGAGGAAAATTGATGAAAGATTGCAACGCAGAATAGTTCCGGATGGTGGATAAGCAGCCCCCAAACATGTTCCAAAAGACATTCAAGCTGTCCTGCAGGCTCAGGGAGCATCAGTGTCAGCGCGAACTATCCGTCGACATTTAAATGAAATGAAACGCTATGGCAGGAGACCCAGGAGGACCCCACTGCTGACACAGAGACATAAAAAAGCAAGACTACAGTTTGCCAAAATGTACTTGAGTAAGCCAAAAGCCTTCTGGGAAAACGTCTTGTGGACAGATGAGACCAAGATAGAGCTTTTCGGTAAAGCACATCATTCTACTGTTTACCGAAAACGGAATGAGGCCTACAAAGAACAAAACACAGTACCTACGGTAAAAATATGGTGGAGGTTCAATGATGTTTTGGGGTTGTTTTGCTGCCTCTGGCACTGGGTGCCTTGACTGTGTGCAAGGCATCATGAAATCTGAGGATTACCAAGGATTTTGGGTCGCACTGTAGGGCCCAGTGTCAGAAAGCTGGGTTTGCGTCCAAGATCCTGGTCTTCCAGCAGGACAATGACCCCAAACATACGTCAAAAAGCACTCAGAAATGGATGGCAAAGAAGCGTGGAGAGTTCTGAAGTGGCCAGCAATGACCCAGATCTAAATCCCATTGAACACCTGTGGAGAGATCTTAAAATTGCTGTTGGAAAAAGGTGTCCTTCCAATAAGAGAGACCTGGAGCTGTTTGCAAAGGAAGAGTGGTCCAAAATTCCGGGTGAGAGGTGTCAGAAGCTTATTGATGGTTATAGGAAGCGACTGATTTCAGTTATGTTTTCCAAAGGGTGTGCAACCAAATATTAAGTTAAGGGTGCCAATACTTTTGTCCAGCCCATTTTTGGGGTTTTGTGTGACATTATGTCATATTTGCTTTTCTGCCTCTGTTTTATATTTGTTCCAATACATACAAAGGGAATAAACTATGTGTATAGCAAAACATGTGTTAATGCAATACCTTTTTTGTGTGAAATACTTGATTTTCAGGAAAAATATCAAGGGTGCCAACAATTTCGCCATGACTGTATGTAATTTACATTTACATAATTCTGACTGCTGCACTCTATATGCTGTGCTGCATGTTTACAAACACCTGCAAAAACTGCTGAAATCCCAGCATACAAAGTGCAGAGGTCAGCAGTCCCCGCACCCATCTTTCACCACTATAACCCTCTGCACCCTATTTCCACCACTGTACAACCAGCATCCCCAAACATCTCTTTCACCACTGCATTCTAAGCACAACTTTGTCACTGTTGTATCCCTTTGCATACCTCCGCTACCAGTGCACTCCCTGTATATCTCTGCCACCACCATATCCCTTTGCACACCTCTACCACCATGGCACACTCCATACATCTCTACCACAAATGTACCTTTTTGCATGTCTGTGCCACCACTGTACTTCTTCACACTCCTGCCATGGGCGCAGCATCAGGGGTCGCAATAGCGACCCCACTCATGCTCCAGGGGGTCAGGGCGGCCACTGCAGGTTAAGTACAGTAGTTCTCAGGGGCGGACTGACAACACATGGGGCCCCCGGGCAATAGGGGATCATTGGGCCGTGTCCTTGCCCAAATTCAAAAAAGCCTATGAAAAAGGTATTAGGGGCATCTCATGGGCCCCCTACTGACCCCGGGCCCTCGGGCAGCGCCCGAGTTTCCAAATGGTCAGTCCGCCCCTGGTGGTTCTACACTGAACTTATAGCCGCTCTGTGTAACAGAAGTCGGATCCCTCCTGCTGTGTGACTGCCCCAGCTAAGTAAAATACTTCTTTCCAGGATGCCTGCAATCAACACTTGGTTTTAGTGTTTCCTAGCCAATAAGGTTTCTTGTGGAACATTTAAACACACATTTCTTGGTGTGTGCTCCAGAGAGCTGGACAGGGGGGCATGTTAGTCCACTATCTCTGATCTCCAGGATGTGAGCAGAAACAGCCTAATTCACAGCTTCCTTAAGAATGCAGCCAAGTGGAGACAACATCAGCTTTAACCTTTCCGGGGACAGTGTTTAAGAGAAAGAAGGCAATATGGAGGGGGGATGGGGGCCAAAGTGTAAATGGAGGGGTCAATATGTGTGTGTGTGGTGTGTGGGGGGGGGGGGGGTAATGTGAGTAGGAGGGGGCACTGTGTACAGGGGAGGCCCGTTTATGCTTTGTTTTCATGCTCTCTGGTTGCAATCTTCTCCAAAATTCATAGACTTGTAGATTTCTTTCTCTCAACCTCCAATTGTGGGAGGTAGGCATTGGCATAACATTAGGGGTTGTAATGGCGACCCCACCCCATGCTCCAGGGGGTCCATGTGGCCTCCTTCTCCCATTCAGTTTTTACACTTGGACAAGAGGAGCTGCAGGGCAGCATATATAGCAAGCGATCCCCTCCATTTTCCTCCTGCAAGCCGCTGAAAGGTGCCGCTCCTCTTCTCCCTCCCGCTGGCTTTCAGCAGCTGCATGTGGAAAAATAGACGGGATCGGTTGTTGTATATACTGCCCCCACAGCCCCTCCTGTCCAGGTTACAATTGTTTCCTGTTGCCTAGGACCCCTGTGTGCTACCCTGGTCCCCCCCCCAGGGCTGGATCTAGCCTGTCTAATTTGGGGGTGCAGTGAAAAATGTCAGGGGGGCAGAAAATGCGAGGTCAGCAGGGCAGAGGATAGGGTCAGCAGTTTGTAGGGCAGTGTACAGAGGCCATTAGTTTGTTGGGCAGTGTACAGAGGCCATTAGTTTGTTGGGCAGTGTACAGAGGCCATTAGTTTGTAGGGCAGTGTACAGTGGGTTATCTAGTCAGTGTGCAGTGGTTAGCATGGCAGAGGACAGGGGTCAACAGGACAGAAAACAGGGGTTAGCAGGGCATGGTACAGGGGTCAGCATGACAGAAGACAGTGGTCAGCAGAGTTGGGGACAGGGCACTTAAGAGATTTCCTCCTCCGCACACAGCACATTGTTGAGAACGGTATCCCTCCACACAGTGTGTAGCTGGCTACTTCAGCTGCCAATCCAGTCAGTAAATTTCACAGGTCAGAACTGCACCATAGCAGCCAGCTACACATTGTGTTAGGGAATCTGATCTCAGCTACATGTTATGTAGGGAGAAGAAGATCTGTTAAGTGCATTGTGTGCAAGTGGGCAGTGCCGGGACAAGATCATCTAGCAAACTGCACCCCCACCTTCCACCCCTCCCTCCAAAAAACAACACTAAGCAACACGTTCACCCCCTAAGCAAGCTCAAATTCTGCCCAACCAAAAATGCAAAAATTCCCCATCCTCACAGTCCAAGTCCACCTCCCAGCAAAAACATTGCCCCCCAATCCCACCTTCCAGCTCAAATCCCCCCCCAATTTCCCACAAATCTTCCATGGCCAAAAAATTTAACTCTTCCCCCAAATTCCCCCTCATAGTACAAATTCTCCCCCCCAGTACAAATCCCCACTCCTGGTGTAAATCCTCTTCCCAATCTCCCTCGTGGTACAAATACTCCCCCTAAACCCCCCTCCTAGCACAAATCCTCCCCCCAAATCCCACCTCTTAGTACAAATCCTCCCCCCAATTAGCACAAATCCTCCCCATTAATTCCCCCTCCTTGTACAAATTGTCTCCCCAATCCCCCCAGTACAAAAAACCCCCCTCCTAGTGTAAATCCTCTTCCCAAATCTCCCCTTGTGGTACAAATCCTCCCTCCTAAACCCCCTCCTAGCACAAATCCTCCCCCCAAATCCCACCTCTTAGTACAAATCCTCCCCCCAATTAGCACAATTCCTCCCCATTAATTCCCCCTCCTTGTACAAATTCTCTCCCCCAATCCCCCCAGTACAAATCCCCCCTCCTAGTGTAAATCCCCCCAAATCCCCACTCCTAATGTAAATCCTCTCCCCTAAACACCCCTTCTAGCACAAATCCTCCACCCAACTCCCACCTCTTTGTACAAATCCTCTCCCCTATCCCCCCCAAATCCCCACTCCTCATGTAAATCCTCTCCCCAAATCTCCCCTCATAGTACAAATACTTCTCCCTAAACCAGGCCAATCCAGCTAAGAAACAGTCACAGAAAAACTACATCCAAGCACTGCAGCATTAACAGACAAGGCCAGCTCTCTGTCCTGTAACATTGCCAAATGCCAAGCCATAGTTATCTTTACCAAGACAAGGCTGTACAACCTTTCTGGGCTTGCTTGCTGTTTCCACAGTCAGACCACAGCAAGTGCTGCTGAAAAAAGGGCAGAGAGACACTGTTCTAGCAGAAAATGTGCGACAAAACACTTGAAAAAACTCTCCAAAAATTTCTTATCACACTTTTCAGGCATTTTCATTGAAGTCTATGGGGACACAAACACTCAATTAGCTCATGTACTTTTTTCAGCAACAGGCGTTTTGCTACAAGTGACAGGACGCTCAGATTTGAACAAAGGCTATAGAAAAAGAAAACAATAGCTTTTTGCTTGTTGAGAGATTTTGAGCTTCCAGCTACAAGCTACAAAACGCTCAAGTGTGAACAAGGCCTCATTATTTTCATTCAGTTAACAGCAGACTTGCAGTGAAAGTGGGAAAGGTGCAGTGAAGCAGTCACTGTGCAGTACTACCATGCAAGAAGCCATGCCTGCATACTGCATACAGTATAGGTGAAACTCAAAAAATTAGAATATCGTGCAAAGTTCATTTTATTTCAATAATGCAACTTAAAAAGTGAAACTAATATATGAGATATACTCATTACATGCAAAGCAAGATAGTTCAAGCCGTGATTTGTCATAATTGTGATGATTTATGGCTTACAGCTCATGAAAACCCCAAATCCACAATCTCAGAAAATTAGAATATTGTGAAAAGGTGCAATATTCTAGGCTCAAAGTGTCCCACTCTAATCAGCTAATTAAGCCATAACACCTGCAAAGGGTTCCTGAGCCTTTAAAATGGTCTCTTAGTCTGGTTCAGTAGGAATCACAATCATGGGAAAGACTGCTGACCTGAGAGTTGTGCAGAAAACCATCATTGACACCCTCCATAAGGAGGGAAAGCCTCAAAAGGTAATTGCAAAAGAAGTTGGATGTTCCCAAAGTGCTGTATCAAAGCACATTAATAGAAAAGTTATGTGGAAGGGAAAAGTGTGGAAGAAAAAGGTGCACAAGCAGTAGGGATGACCGCAGCCTGGAGAGGATTGTCAGGAAAAGGCCATTCAAAAGTGTTGGGGACTTTCACAAGGAGTGGACCGAGGCTGGAGTCAGTGCATCAAGAGCCACCACACACAGACGAATACTGGACATGGGCTTCAAATGTCGTATTCCTCTTGTCAAGCTGCTCCTTAACAACAAACATCGTCAGAAGCGTCTTACCTGGGCTAAAGAAAAACAGACCTGGTCTGTTGTCAGTGGTCCAAAGTCCTCTTTTCTGATGAGAGCAACTTCTGCATCTCATTTGGAAACCAAGGACCCAGAGTATGGAGGAAGAATGGAGAGTCACACACTGCAAGATGCTTGAAGTCCAGTGTGAAGTTTCCACAGTGTGTGTTGATTTGGGGAGCCATGTCATCTGCTGTGTTGGACCACTGTGCTTCATTAAGTCCAGGGTCAACGCAGCCGTCTACCAGGAGATTTTGGAGCACTTCATGCTTCCTTCCACAGTCGAGCTTTATGGAGATGCTGACTTCATTTTCCAGCAGGACTTGGCACCTGCCCACACTGCCAAAAGCACCAAAACCTGGTCCAATGACCGTGGGATTACTGTGCTTGATTGGCCAGCAAACTCGTCTGACCTGAACCCCATAGAAAATCTATGGGGCATTGCCAAGAGAAAGATGAGAGAAATGAGACCGAACAATGCAGAAGAGCTGAAGGACGCTATTGAAGCATCCTGGTCTTCCATAACACCTCAGCAGTGCCACAGGCTGATAGCTTCCATGCCACACCGCATTGAGGCAGTAATTGCTGCAAAAGGGGCCCAAACCAAGTACTGAGTACATATGCATGCTTATACTTTTCAGAGGTCTGATATTGTTCTATGTACAATCCTTGTTTTATTGATTGCATGTAATATTCTAATTTTCTGAGATTGTGGATTTGGGGTTTTCATGAGCTGTAAGCCATAATCATCACAATTATGACAAATCACGGCTTGAACTATCTTGCTTTGCATGTAATGAGTCTATCTCATATATTAGTTTCACCTTTTAAGTTGCATTACTGAAATAAATGAACTTTTGCACGATATTCTAATTTTTCAAGTTTCACCTGTAGATTGAGGAAGGCTCAATATACATGATCAGAAAATTGTGCAGAAAAAAACTGCTTTCAAATCGATTGTACGATAATCTGATCATTAGTACACAGCTTTTGTCTGAAATTATTCAAAGGGACAAGCACGAAAATGTTTCTCGTACGATACCTGATTGTATAATTTTCCCTTAATCAGTACAGTTTTCATCTGGGAATACAATAAAAGTACAGTACAACAGTGGCGCCCCGAAGCGGGGGGTGCTGTCCGCACCGGGTGACACCGACCGCATGGAGTGACATCGGACACGCTCCACAAAAAGGTAAGTTGTAAAGCAAGCCAATGATCCCCACAGGATGGATCCGATGCATCCTGCGGGGATCAACGGCTTTCTTTACAACTTACCTTTTCTTTGGGCGGGTCCGGTGTCACGCAGTATAGGTTGCATGCCGACGATCCTCGTCGGCATGCAACCTATATAGGGTGACACTGGACCCGCTCCAAGAAAAGGTATGTTGTAAAGAAAACCAATGATCCCCGCAGGATGCATCGGATCTGCGTATTGAGCATAATGGATCGGAGTCCGAGCCATTATGCTCAATACGCAGATCCAATCCATTCTGCGGGGATCGTCAGAGGGGGTGTCACCAAGTCTTACCGCACTGGGTGACACCTACCCTAGGGACACCTCTGCATTACAATACACTACATCACTTCCGAATTTTTATTCTCTCCTACAAGAATTCTTGTAACTTTAGTAACCTTTTCATTATTGATATGAGACTAGCGTGCAAAAAAAATGGATGATCATTCATCCGATATTCTCATTGTCTGTACAAGGCTTTAGATTGTCCAACAATATTCTGATAATGAGATTGTTCCAACCTGTCCTGATAATGGGAATATGAACCTGAGATAAATATTAACACTTATCCACTTTATCTAAACTTGGCTAAATTAACTAAAAATGTCTGTACAATACATTTTAAGGCCCATCTCACCATAACATGCATGATTATAATAAAAAAAATTGTCACACAGAAGAATTTAAGGTATTCCTGTAGTCAATACACCATTAGTCAACCAGCACCTGAAGCCCTAATGGAGTGTCTTATCTCAAGTATCTCTTAGTGCTGTCACAAAAACTACACTTCAAGTACTGGGAAGTGTATTCTATTCATGTGTCAGTTTACTAACTTAATAAGTGATTTTAAGATCAAAAGCTAGAATATGAGCCAATAGGAACGTTTCTTTGTACAGGATTGTCATTATAATCCACAGGAATTTTACAGAATGTTTAAAAGAAGAGATAATCAAGGTTTACTATTTTCACTGTCTAGTACTATGCCATAATAAAAAAGCTGCCTACGTCAATTCAAATGTTTTTGAAGGCTTTGCAATTCCATGGAGGATAGATTGATTTCTACTCTGCTAACATAATTGTTCATTGGCTTGATTTACTACAGATTTGATTCTATGAGTATTTCTCAAACGATGCTGCCACCCTGTGGCATTTAGATCTTACTACAAAAACTAAGGTCATACTGTATATTATAGTACATGCAAGCTCATTTTACTTGGCTAAATCATTTAAATTATGTTGTTCCTACAGCTAGAAAGGTTTGTAAATATATGTAAAATTCAATAGACTGGACTAGATTTAACTTTATATCAGTCCTTGGGGCACAACTCACTACAGACATTTTATAAATCAATCTGTCACACTTACTTTTACAACTCTTCCTCCTTAAGACATAGATACAACATAGATAAGAAGAAATAAATGCAATTTTTAACTGTCAGTACTGATTTACCCTAGGTTCACACCTAAGCCTTTTCTGCAGCGTTTTTTGCAGAAACGCAGTACAGTCCATTTAACATGATTTCCTATGGGACACGTTCACACCTGTGCGTGTTCGCCCAGTTAGTTTTTTGGAAAGAGTCAGGGACTTTTTTCGACGCAAAAAATGCATTTTTGTTTCTATAGACTTCAATGGAAACATTGCAGAAAAGCATGTATTGCGTTTTTGATGCATTTTGCATTTTGAGTTTTAAATCTGCCTAGCAATAAGAAAAAGAAAAAAAAAGGAAAAAAAAATGCAAAACACAACAAAAACGCAAAATGCAATGCAGAAAAGGCTCAAACGCAACCTGCATAGGTGTGAACCTAGCATTTTGCGTTTTTGCTGCGTTTTGCTTTTTTAAAAAAATTTTCTTGTTGCTAAGCAGATTTAAAACGCAGAACGCATCATGTAATAGGTGTAGAAAATAGGCAGCCCCATAAAATTTAAATCCAAAGCCTAATACCTAATATAACAGTAATCTATCTTTGTCAATAGAAGATACTAGTGATTGCATTTTTATTGTACCATCACAAGAGGGCAGAACTACTTCCTGTGATAATAGGAAGACACAGAAGTAGGAACTAAAAAGCTAACACTTTGTTTCCTACAGGACAGTGATTACAGTGAACATATCCAGTCACATGTAATTAAGGGTTTTCTGTGTTTGTTACAGGTAAGCAGGAGGCTGTTTAACATGATAAATAGGACAAAATGACTTAACATGTCCTGGTGGTTAGTAAATGTCGCTGTTTACTATTATGCAATCAGATTACTTGTAGCATAAATGTGAATATATATTGCAGCTATGTGATTTGGCGCTAAGATACAGGGAATGTGATTTCTCCATTGTAATACACTATTGGTATGCAGAATAGGTCACTAGCATATCTGCAGAGGTCTAGATATTCAGTATTGTGATTAAAGATGTTTATTAATGGATATGAAAATACTTATTAATGTATATGGAAATATTTAGTAATGTATAGAGGACAGTGATTACAGTGAACATATCCAGTCACATGTAATTAAGGGTTTTCTGTGTTTGTTACAGCCATTCCTAATAAAACACTTCTGGTTTCACCCGACCCATCCTTCGCACAGTTGAATTATTTACCGTATGTGCAACAAAATTGGCGCCCAACGTGGGGCCGGGTGAAAGGAACGCCAAAAGGTCCGGAAGTGAAAAGGAGTGACTACACTGTCCGTGGTGAAGTTACAGAAAAACAGGAGTATGGATATCGAAAAGTTGCAAGATGAAATCAGTGAACACCTGATTCACATGACAGTCGATGATCT